CTCCGTGCTAAATTAATAACAAAAGCTTCTTGGCTTCTTGTATGAACAGGCAACGTGTCTCTACAACAGGTTCCCCTGTAATGGGGTATTTTTAGAAGACGCGCACAGTTATTAATTTCAAAATCAAATAACGCACGTTTGGGTAGCTCTGATATTAGTTTTTTGATTTACTTCCTCGTTTATTACTTTTAGGTTTTTTTACTCCTTTTCCTGATAATTTAGGTGCTAAAAATAAACCTTTTCCTAACTTATATTTTCCTCGACCATAGGGTGCTAAAAACAAACCTTTACCCAACTTGACAGGTGTATTCTTAGAAGCCCTTAAATCATTAATAGTTTTAACAATATTACTCGCTCCAGAAGCTAAAGATCCAACTGCAGTTAAACCAGCAATCAGGGGTAAAATGGGTAAAAACCCTCCAGATTGAGGAATAGCTATTATTCGGGGTACTGCTTTATTTTTTTTATTTTTACCCACAACCTTTTTAGCTGCTACCATAGCGATTTTAGCCAGTTTAGTCTTATTTTTCTCTGTACTCTTTTTAACAGCTTTTTTTGCTGCGGATACAACCTGCTTAAATTGAATCCCCATACCTAACTTTCGTTTAGCTTTTATAGCAGTAGTTACTAACCAAGAAGCGGCTTTTTCTTTAAGTCCAACGTCTTTAGATTTAACTAGTTCCCATGCATTATCCTCTAATAATCTATCAGCCTCGTGTCTATCATCCAGAGAGTTTGATTTATCGTATGCAATGTCATGATCTCGACATAGATCATCCAATTTATTCACGCCTCTATCACCTCGTGCAAGCCGTTTTTTTAATTTAGTCCCGGGACCTGCGAATCTAATTTTTTAAAAAAAAAATATTAGTTTTAATCATTATTTTTATGACTAATTTTTAACTACCTATATCCTGGTAAATGTAACTCAAATGGAAGATTATTTATAGCAGTGTTTAGTATACCACCACCTTTGTTGGTGTTGTTCTTTCGACGTGTAGACATCATATGATCCCTAACGTTTTTAATCAGATATATTTATACCGTTATGATATTTTTACCACAAGATACTAAACTTTCAGTTTTAAACGCGGATCCTCCGCAGATGTATCAGACTAAGTCTAAAAATGGCTATTTACTACCACATTCAATCCGCGCCTTAATTTTAGCCCCTAGTGGAGGGGGGAAAACCAACTGCGTGTACTCTTTACTTACTAACATTAATGGGATTAAGTTTCAAAACATTTATTTATACTCGAAAACTGTAGATCAACCGAAATATAAAATGTTAAAGGATATTATATCTGGTATTGATGGTATGAAGATGTTTACTTTCAACGAAAGTGATACTGTAATTCCACCTGAGAAAGCTTTACCCGAAAGCACATTTATTTTCGATGACGTTTTAACAGAAAGCCAAGGTGTTATACGTGCATATTTTGCTCGTGGTCGGCATAATAATTTGGATTTATTATATTGTGCACAAAGTTATTCATATTTAGATAAAAGAATTCTACGCGATAACGCAAACTTTCTTGTGGTGTTCAAAATGGATCAGACCAACTTAAAACATATTTACAATGATCATGTAGCTTCTGATATGTCCTATAATCAATTTAACGAGTTTTGTACAACCTGTTGGAATCTTGAAAAATATAATTTTATAGTTATTAGCAAAGACGATGAGAGAGATAACGGCCGTTATAGGCTCAATTTCGACACGTTTGTTACTATATAGAGTCTAACTCACATAGCGATTTAGTCATTTATCGATCAAACATGACGGAGGAAAGTTACACATTAATGAAGGAATTAATACAAGCTAGAGAAAATATTAAACAAAAATTTAAAGATCTTAAACAAAATAACGCGAAAACCGAACATGCCATAAGACAAAATCTAAATCCTATAATTGAACCTCTCCAAAAACTAACGGATATAAAATTAACTAAAAATAAATCGAAAGAAAAACCGGTAAATGAATCTGTACAAACGAGTACAGATATTGCCGTACAGACACAAGATCAAAGCCGCGATGTGGCCGATTTAGAAGACTTTATTAACACGCGCATAAAAACATTGTTAGAGTCTAATAATTTGGATAAACTTTATGGACCTAAACACGATAAAAAAACTGGGCAAATTACTCTTGGGGGGTGTACGTTAGTGTTCGAGGCTAAAGAAAATGTAGTTTATTTAGATAACACGTCATACCCATTAACCATGGGTATCATTCAGTTAATTTTTTCAAAAAACCCAGTCAACTATACTGAGTCCGATTTGGTGAACTATAAAGATATGTTATTAAAATCAAATGTTCACTTAAACAAAAACAAAACGCATATTCGAAAAGGTGGGAATAAATATAATCTCATTGTAGGCTTATTCCTCAAAGGAGACGGTCTTACTTTAACATTAAGAAAAAACGTTAAAAAAGAGCTTTTATTTTGGAAAGATCCAAACGAATTGTGTGAACGTCTAAAATTACTATTAGCTTCACAAGCAGCAGGTAATACGGGTGTATCGAATGAAATCACATTAATTTGGCAAGAACTACTCGAGTATAAATTAATAAAACGAATTCCCTATGTCTAAACGGGAAATCGCCAACGAACTACACAAACCAGCAAGAAGAAACTTTGTTAGAAGAAGAGTTGTATTATATGGTAAAAATGATTTGTTTCAAGCAGATTTGTGTGAAATGGTACAACATGCCAGGGTTAATAAGGGGTATAAATATTTACTCACGGCATTAGACTGTTATACAAAATATGCATACACAGCACCATTAAAATCAAAAACCAGTAAAGAGGTCACATTAGCAATGGCTAAAATATTTGATACTCAGTGTCCTAAACTTTTGCAAGTGGATAAAGGTGGGGAGTTTTACTCAAAGTTGTTTGATGAATTAATTGAAAAATATAAAGTAAAACGGTACTCAACTTTTTCAACATTGAAAGCAAGCATCGTCGAAAGATTTAATAGAACGCTTAAAACTCTTATGTATAGAGAGTTCACGGCTAGAGGTTCACATAATTGGATAGATATTCTACCATCAATAACTGAAAAATATAATCATACTATACACAGTTCTATAGGATTAACACCTGCACAAGCTAATGCAAACCCCTCACTAGTTAAATTACGCGAACGTGTGATTCCTTATAAAAAAGTCAGATTTAAAATTGGTGATAACGTTAGAATATCAATTTTTAAAAGTTTCTTTGATAAAAAATACCTTCAGAACTGGTCGACGGAGGTGTTTTGCATTACTAAAGTCAACAAAACAGAGCCCCCCACTTATTTACTTAAAGATTATAAAAATAACCCTATACTGGGTTGTTTCTACACAGAAGAATTGTCCAAAACAAATTACCCCCACGACTACTTAGTAGAAAAAATTGTGCGAACAAAAGGATCTAAATTGTATGTTAAATGGTTAGGATTTCCGTCAACAGAAAATAGTTGGATAAATAGGGGTGATATAAAGCAATTATAGCCAGTATCACTATGAACGTGTTTGGAGAGACTTCTGATACATTTATAAACACTCTAGTTTCATCACACGACGGCAATAACAAACTCATTAGAAATAACGTCCTTCAAATTTCAAGTATAACAAAACAATTGCGTGAGACAAATGAATTAGCATCTGATAACCTTTCCAAAATTAATTATATAGTAACTAATATAGAAATATTAACTTCAAGTATTACAAAACAGCTGGGTGAGGCGCAAGAAGTAGCATCCGATAACCTTAACAAAATTAAATCTCTTGAAACTAATATAACATCATTAATTAAGGATAATGAAATTTTTAAGTATTCAACTAATAAAACGATCATAGACATTCTTAATATTTTGGGAAGCCGTAAAAATTAGCTTGACATATATTATAGTAATAGAACGCTTCCTCCCCTTCTACTGAAAAAAGTAAACAGTTATTTGATTTTTTCATAATGACCTCTGCTATTTTAGATATGGAGTGTATTATGTCTCCGGACTCTAAGTATTTAATAAAAGAATTATCTGTAATTGCAACTGACACATGGAATACTCAACATTGGATATTTAAATATAGCTTTACACAAAATTCAAACAATAAATCACAAAGCGTTAATAAATGGTTAGCCAAACATCATCACTCAATGACACCTCAATATGGAGATGTCGAAGCAGAAGAAGTGTCGAGAATTTTAAATTCTTTAACGTTCTCAGTTATTTACGTTAAAGGGCTACAGAAAATAGATATTTTACATGAATATGTACCTCATATCAATATAATTAACCTTGAAGACATCGGGTGCCCCCGTATAAACCAACTGCACGCTGAAGATTCCTATCCATCATGTTTATTTCATATGAATTTAAATCCTACACACTGTACTTTTTATAAAATGTTTGCATTAAGGAATTGGTTTATAAACAATTCATAACCTTGTATATTATCATTGTAATTTAGTTTAAAACATATTATTTCAATAATAAATAACTTTTTTTATTTATCAGATAGTAGTCTATTTTATTTACAATAAAAGTATAAAATAATAATATCTTTACTAAGTGTGTCACATGCATATTTTTTTCTACAAATCAAAGAGGTGTACATATATATATATATATATAACATAACAAAAAAATATTTCAAGACATCTAAAATATACAATAATATAATGTTTACATGGTAGGTTAGAGGTGAGATTATATTTAATTACATTTTTAAGTTACAATAAAAATAAAACAATAATAATATCTTAACTAAGTGTGTCACATGCATACTTTTTTTTGCTATGTTATATATATATATATATATATATATATATAATATATATATATATATATATAATATAGCAAAAAAAATATTTCAAGACAACTAAAATATATAATAATATAATGTTTACATGGTAGGTTAGGGGGGAGATTATATTTAATTACGTTTTTTAATAATGTAATCATACAACAAGCCTAAGAGTGTGGTATGACTATATAGAACATGGCAAAAAAAAAATTAGGTATTTAAAATAACAAAAAAAATAAATGGTAATGAGGGTTGGGGTTTTATTTAAATACATTTTTAATCATATATCCACAACAAACTACATCAAAAGTGGGAGGGGACGCCTGCACAAGTCTGAGAGTTGAAGTGTATATATGTTACAAAAAAAATTTTAAAAAAAAGGGAGTAAGCAAAAAAAATTGTACAATAACCTTAATATTAAGTCTTAAATTTATATCTCTTCCACGTGCTCCTCACTGTAAGTAAAAAACATTGTTTATATTAGTATATTTTCAAGTACAAACTAATGTTATTATAACTTACTCAAGTTTATAATGACCATAAGGTAGAGTATGTATGCGGTCTGCCAATACAACTCGCTTGTCGTCATTCCTATTTAGAGCCAGCTTAACGGTTGAGATGCTCTTAATGTCATGTTTATAGGATCGAAACGAATTCATCGTTCGATAAGGGTTGAAACTGTTTGGGTCTTTTCCATTGATACCCTGAAATAGACAGTCTTTGTGGTCCTCAAATGTCATGTGGTTTTTAATCACGTGATAAGCGACCCCCTTAGCCTTGATGTGTTCGGCCCCCATTAGTATGTAACCATAAGATTTTGCTCGAAGTGCAATTTGTTCCCAAATAATGTCGCCTCCGGTCTCATCTAAGACATAAAAAATTAATAGTTTTTTATTTTTTTTAAATGTTTTATTAACTGACCTGTAAAAGTCCCAGGAACTTTTTTTCTTTCTGTCCTATAACATGGATGTGAAGGTGGGAAATTGGATGTATCCAATTTTTCTAAAAAACCCGGTTTGGACAACACATCGGCATAAAAATCTTTGGTCTTAATCAGGTACATTAGAGAATCTGAAAAAAGTAATGTTAAATATAATTGTGTTTAAAATAAAATTAGTTAATAATAATATACCTGTATCCATATAGAGTAGTTCAATATCACAACCGTAGTACTCTTTCATTACATTGTAATGAAAGTCATACATTAACGTCTTGGAAATTTCCAAGACGGAAAACCCAACGTAGACTGGTTTATCAAAAGTTAAAACATCCTTATTTAGGTGTACCGCATACAAGTTTTCACTATATTGCGTGACACCTTTAAATGTTGGCTTGTTAATTAACCTTTGACAAGACTCAGGACTACACACAAGTGACATTTTCATTCGGTTCCGAACATTCTCCATAGTTTTACCTGTTTAAAAAATAATAAATTTGATATTATAATATAATATATTATATTTATTTAAATGTTTAGATACTAACCAAAAACGGCATTGTTCATTAGCTTAAAGAAATCCTTTTGAAAATCATTGATGGCTTTTTTCCTCATTTCCGTGTTAAGCGAGATGTAACTCCCCAACCACGGACTTTGGTCAAAGCTTAGAATTCTATGGACTTTTTTAAGAATAAGCCCAGCCTCTAATGCCTGTTTCAAGATTGAATGGTGTACAATATACCGCTGTTTATTCTGTAAGGTGGCGACTAATTTTTTTATGCGAGAACCAGCTGGTGTTAACCTCTCGCACATAAAAGGTAAATCTGAATGCTTATCGTGAAGGGACCTAGGGTACTCTATATCAACTTCCAACATCAACCCAGTTTTCGACTTCTTGTCACATTTTTTTAACAAATGTTTCACTGTATGGACCGAATGGTCACCTTCATACCATTTGAAATTCCCCAAAGGTAAAGCCTGAGACATTGCCCATCCGTATCTGAAGTAATTATAATATGAAAATTAAACAAATATACTGTTTTATTAGTATATATATATATAGTATAAGTAGTTACAAGTTCGTTGCATCCAGATAAATAATCCAACTATTTGGCTCTGCAGGGTTGTATTGCGGTGTTTTAGCGTGGTTGGCTTTGGAGTATCTTTTCGATGCTTGTGTCAGTCCTCCTCTTATGCCTAAACGATATATTTATATATTAATTAAGTTATTATTATTCTGTAAATTTATATATTTTTACCATTCTCAAACATTAGAAGCATATCGTAGTCAGACAACAACTCCAGTTCAACTTTAGTATGTTTCAGACAAACATCGAAAGAATATCCGGGTAATGTGTAGTAAAAACAGGGATCTAAAGAATATGTAGTTATACAAAGTTCCCTAAACGATTCAAAGACATCACATAAAATGTGCACATCCAACTCATTATACCTAAAAATAATTATTTATCAATAAAATGATGAATTAAAATAAATATATATATATTACTAACCATAAACTATAGTCCCCTAAAGTTTTAAATTTGAAGTGGTTAAAAACCTTTACCGCGTGGTCATAGTCATTTTGTGAAATATTACTTTCGGTTAGTGAACTATAAAAAATGATTTGGTTAAAAATTATTTATTATTAGTTTATATATAGTTAGTATATTTTACCTATAGAACTGCTCTATCGGTGGTAGACAGGGTTCTTCAAGCTTCTCCCATGAGTCTGTATACTCATAGCAGTAAACACCTTTACGAGTCACCAAATCTATATCGTCCGCCCCATATGCACTCAACACAGAACGGAACTTAGACTTGTCAGAACGGGCAAGGTTATTTGTTAATTTGTCAAGACTACTGGCCATAAAGCGATAACTATCCAAAAATCGGACTGAAAATTTATTCGAAATAAATTTTGAAAACGAAATGAATTTTTCCTCGCTATTAGGAATAACGTTAATTGTGTGTGGATCATGGCCTAATTCAGTAACGATTATATGCGAATCATAAGACGATAAATTGTGGAATATGCAACTTACATACGTCGGACTTTGCATTTTTAAATTGCACCTATTACAAACGGTGTTTCTGTATCTACCGCTTAAATGGTGGTGATCGCGTACCGGATGATTTAATATTGAAAATTTGCAATTACAGAGAGGGCATTGACCACCGTTCACGACAGCCTTATGGTTGCTATCGTCCTGTGTCGACATGCGTATAGGGGTATTAACGTTTAAAAGTTGCTCGATATTCCGTGCTACATCGGTTATACTTTGAATAAAATGTTTTGGCACATCATTTAATTCGCTGTTTTTATTGCCGCTGTAAACAACCGGAGTTTGTGGTATGTTGAATCGATCTAACAACTCTTTTGGGACATCCTCGCTAGGCTTGACTAAGTACACATAACTCATGGGCACGTGGTCTTGGGTAACAGTAGTTTTCCCAAAATGACTATCTGCAGCTGGTTTCTTCAGCAAACACTCAAAATCCGCATAAATCACAAAATCATGTTTTTGAGTATTACCATAATTTTCAAATTTCATATAAGTTTTTGGTGGGGGCAGAATTGGCGTTACAGATTCATTTTTGTTGCATATTCTTCTATGCTCGTCCAGTCTGGATTCCTTTGGGGCTTTTCCTGCTTCATCCACATAAGTCTTGAAACATCGTCTGCATATGGCCTTTTCTTTGTTATTTTTTGACATTTGCTGACCAACCAGTCGTGTGAGGTTTCTGATATAGCAATAATGAAAGTTGCCTTTCCCATCATCGAAGTATAACAGATCGAAATGATTCGGTTGCTCAATGGTGCATACTCGGTATGGAATAATAATGTAATCTTTTTTTTCATTGGTATGGTTAGGAATGTTGTTCTTCGCCTTGTTTTTATAAGTACGATTACCTTTCTTGAAACCATAAACATTGATGGACACTTCTTTATTATTCTTCTCAAATTTCTTTACTTCGGACAACGGCGTGGGGAAACTAATTCCGGCAAAGTTGTAGCGGTCTGTCATACCTTCATAGTGTGTTACTCTGTGTGGGTTAGCTGTAGTCACGTGTTTTGCCAATATACTGTATCGAAAACATTGCTGATCCGTGTTTTGTACATTGACTGTTGCTTTCCTATTTTCAATGGCTTCCGGGAGTGGTATATACGATGCGCCGCCGAAAGGCGAATATTGAAACACATCTACTAATATGCCATCAATCTTTTCCAGAGAAAACCCCGATCCTTTGCCAGCCATGTCTTCTTCTTCAACTAATAATTTGTTAAAGTCATCAGTTATTTGGTCTTCAATGATGGTCTCAGGTAGCAATGTCCTCGCACACGTCTTGAAAGCCCGGTTTTCAAGAACCTCGGTGGATGGGATTTTGTACGTTGACTCAAGTTTCAACGTATATTTGATTGCATTTTCAGCAACGAGTGTTGTAAGAAGTTCGATTAGTTGAGGTTTGGTTTCAGCCAAGAAAGATTCATAGTCCGCTAATTGATTAAAATTTTTCTTATAATAGGCTTTACATAAACCTCTAAACCCTGTGGTGGTCAAAACGAAACCTTCTCTCGTTACTGCAGCTAAACGGTGACTTTTCAACCGTTTATTATTTGCGTTGTTTTCTCTGTTGACCGTTATACTATCAAGAGCCTGCAAGCATGCCTCATCGCCTTCGCTGTCACACAGTTCTTCGAACGATCTTTTATCTACACCTAATAATATAATAATGGCCTTACTTAATATAAACCGTGAAAATGTGTCTAAGTGTTAATAAATTGAAAAAAATTGGCCAGGACGGTAGGGTGAAATGTATAATATTTACTCTAAACAATATATTAAAGTCATAACTATATATATTTTTTACTAAATAATTTATAGTGAATGTTACATATAAAAAAAACCTACTACGGTAACCTACCCTAACCTAACGTATAAAAAATTAATGCGGTATACATATTTTTCACTAACCTGTAGGAACTCTTGAAGTTGACGCCATATTATTTTCGGCTTGGACAAATGTTTCGTCGTCTGCGCTTCCCCAAAACTGTTGTTCTGCCTGTCGACCTGTATTGGAAAAAATATTTTTTCAGTATAAATTAAATGTTAAAGATTGTTGAACGGATTGAATCATTAAAAGGAAAAAATAGCTTATAACCATAAAATATATGAATGGCGATATAATTTTTTTAAAATTAAATTTAAAGGTCTATTCAATGATATATTGTGAATATATTTGTTTATAAGCTAATTTTTTTTCTTTTCATGGTGTTAAAGTAAATATATTTTAATTTAATATTGGTGATGTGTTTCAAGTTTCTCTTATAAAAAAAATCACTATATACTTGTAAAAAATAATTCATTTACTAACCTAAACCAGATGTTGAAGGCATGTGTGATGTGTGCTGAATAACCGATGCCCTTTGTTGAAGAGGATTTCCTGGATGCCCGCTTCGCCCCGCACCAGCTGAAAAAATGTTATATTTTATTAAATTAAATCACATTTTTGTTTTAAGTATAAACAAAAAAAAAAAAATGTTTTCTTACCGTGTTTGGCAATGCAGTGTCTGGATAGATTCCCTTGATACTTAAAGTCATAATCACATTCTCCGCATGCAAACCTAATACCTTGGTGGACTTTTAAATGTCTATTAAGATTAGAGCTTGTAGAGAATGATTTCTCACACAAACTACACTTATACATGTTTAAGAATTTAACTAAAATAATAATAATATGTTAAAAATATGTAATATTATGTTAATAGGCTAAAAAGCTTAAAAAATGTGTTAAGTGCGTTAGTATGTGTTAATATGCTATTTAAGCTACTAGATTAAATGCGTTAATATGTTATATGCGGTAATACAATAATATTAAGATTACAATACGATACTTTGTTTTAAAAAAAACACAAAATCGATATATATAAAATTAAAACAGTGAAAATTAATGTAAACTGCTGAGCAAAAACTACTGTTGACAAGACACTGTTGACGGTAGGTTAGCAAAATTACATCTGACGGTTGTACACAGTATAATAATTGATCATGCTGATCACTGCAAACTCCTTCCAAAAAAAAAAAAATCCCTTCCTCTGCATTCATAAGCCACCCCCCAAAAATGTAGGCGTTATTTTCTCGCCATTAGCGCTAACCAAAAAATGTAATCTTAAAACGCAGGTGTCATCTGTTACGGCCAAATTATTGCACCTGTATAATGCACTCTAAGGGTTCATATGGTGTACAGAGTTCTGATAAACCCCTCTTGCTTGGCGCCACCATACGTTCGGTCAATATTATATATTATCAAAGGTATTGTCAAAGATTTCTACCGACTATTTGTTTGTCCCTTTTATTATATTTGAACAGGTGTCATCTGTTACAGTCAAATTATTTGCACCTGTATAATACACGCTAAGGGTTCATATGGTGTACAGAGTTCTGATAAACCCATCTTGCTTGGCGCCACCATACGGTCGGTCAATATTATATATTATCAAAGGTATTGACAAAGATTTCTACCGACTATTTGTTTTACCCCTTTTGTTATATTTTATGGTACATATTCATGTTATATATGACAATTCTAATAACGATTTTTTCGGCGTCAGACTGACGCGTCGATTTAAAACTACATACCGAAAATTTATATTATATTCTATCTAATAGTATATATATATATAAAATATATATTGCAAGTTAATATATTATACTTTATGCTTAAATTTAAATTTTTTAATATAGTATTTTAGACTACACTTGCAATAATCAGATGAGCCGCTTGTTATTATATAGTTAACCAAAAATGAAGTTTTAAGTATATTATAATTTACGTTATATTAAATAATAAAATGAGGCATTGGTTTTTTTTTAACTAAAAAAATAAGTTTATTTTAAGTAGAACTATTAATTTTACAATCCTAATCTTAATTGTAATATTAGTAAAAAAATTACACTAACTAGCACTGTTTTCTTAAATCTAATATTAGTAAAAAAAAATTACACTAACTAGCACTGTTTTCTTAAATCTAATATTAGTAAAAAAAATTACAAGTTAATATATTCAATATCTAAATCAACATAGTTTACAAACTTGTCATGCGTGAGTAAACTCCAATTTCTCGCAATTGATGTGTCAATCGTGTACCATCGGTTCAGTGGTTGTCTGCATTTTTTACAATGCATTAAACGCATAAATGCGAAAAATGCATTGATGTCTTTGATTGCAAAAGTTCTTATCCCAAACTCTGGCTGCCTCTCTACGCCTTCAAAATTGCTCCAACAAACATATGAGTTGCAAACGTAATCACAACTATTGAAACGTTTACAACTATATGCAACATTCCACTCCTTAAAAGCACTAGAATATTTTCGAATGTGATTTACCCCGTATTTTAACGGGTATTTAGACACATGATAAAAATTAAATCGCGAACTTAACATGTCACTCCGTATGCAAATTGCCGGTAATTTAGAATTTTCCATTGCGATATTTTTTTTTTTGTTAATATTTTACCAAGTAAAATGTCTGACCGTTCACTGAAATGACTAACACCGAATATTATTCGTCGTGACTCCATAATTTTTAGGTATGTAGGCTCGGTAAGGTTTCAGGGGGAATATTTGTTTTGCCTCCCCGCAAAAAAAAAACCTCCTACCATGCGTGTGCCGATGTGTGTGGTCCTAATACATATTTTTGTAACATCGGCTAAGTAACCAGGATTTATACACCATTAAAATTGTTTATTAAGAAAATGTTCGTTTATGCCCATTCAATATAGACCTGAAAATAAATATTGTTTTTGCGTTTGGTTTACATTATATTTATATGCTACCTATATATGTATAACGTCCACGGTTAGGTCGGTACGGGTGGCAATCATCTATAGGGCGGCAAAGGTTGAGGTAGGTTAACCGCATTTTTTTTTTGTTGCACTAGTCCCGAAACACACAGAGATGATTTGTTTACACAATATGACTTATACACAGAGATGATTCAAAACAATGGAATCATCGATCATCAATCATCCTTTTGTTCCACAATGTACGTTTCCCTTCTACTTATGATAAACAAGTTGTAATA